CGCAGGTATAACACACGTGGTCGATATTCACATGTGGAATTCCCAGGCACCGTGTTTCAACGTGGTCTCTCTCTCTGTGTGGTCAATCATTACCCCTCAATCATCACTCTTCTTCCTCCTCTTCCTCTTCCTGTTCCTCCTATTTTCCACCTCTCCCTTCAATATTTACGCCAGAGACTTCCGTGTCACCAGTGAAGGAGCGAGACGTCGTCAACGTCTCCTGGGAGGTCCGAAACATCGTAAGCACACCTTCAGAGATCTCAAAATAAAATTTTAAAACACTAACATACCATTTATAGATAAGACACATGTCCAACAATTAGGTATCTTTATTCCGAAACGTTTCACCCACACAGTAGGCTTCTTCAGTCAAGTACAGAGGCAGCAGAAGCAGTAGAGATGTAAAGACGATGTTATCAGTCCCTCACCCTTGAAGACGTAGTTTTGAGGTGGTCAGTCCATCAGTCTGAGGTGCAAGGAAGCATGGCAACAGAAGGGGCCATACCAACAGAAGCAAAGCAACAGAAGGGGCCATGCCAACAGAAGCAAGAAAGAATATCAAGATAAGTAATGGACCACAACAGAAGCATGGCAACAGGAGCAAGGGACCATAGCAACAGGAACATGCGTGTGCGTTGGTACGGTGTTGTTGTGATTGTGAGAAAGGGGGGAGGAAATAACAGGGGGAAGAGGAAATAATGGGGGAAAGTGGGGATGGGGGATGTAGGCGACTATTACCAACCACAATATACTGGCATTTGTCAGGCAAGAAAGTAGAGGTGAGTGTGAGTGTGTGTGTTGACATACGAGGGTCGAATCTCAGCTCCTGGGCCCCCTCCCTTCGATTCGAAATCTTTCAAATTATTTCTACACAGGCTGAGCCTCGATCCATCCCAACCCATACATACTCAGGATTTATCACCTGAGGTTTCATTTAAACCTCCCCCCTGAGGTTTAAAACCTCTCCCTCCCCCAAGGTTTCACTTAAACCCCTTAAACTCACGTCAGAGTGGAGAGCATTGTTACAAGGCAGGACTTGACACAAATGATCAATGGAAGAAGATGTGTGTTCACTTCCACACCCCTCCTTACCCCGGTAAGACAAAAACGATATGATTCAAGAATGGGAAATCCTATCTTAGGAACATCCTGGAGGGCGTGATGACACAGCTGCCCAGATTACACGGGAAGACACGGGGTGACTGCATTTTCCTGGAATGTAAGAAAGACATCGACACGTTTCCTTACCAATAATAATAATATTACTATTATTATTATTATTATTACACTACACATACACACACCACAAACAACTACACATACACACACAACACACACACACATACTACACATACACACAACACACACTACACATACACACACACACTACACACACACACACAACACATACACACACACTACACACACACATACTACACATACACACAACACGCACACACTAACAAAACACACACACTACACCACA